GAAACCAGAATGAAGGCTGAACATGGTAATGGGACAGGAAGAAAGCAGAAAGAAATAGAGGAAAGAAGTAGGATGCAAAGGGCATACATACAAGCCAAAATACAGACATGTACATATGTCAATATATTTAAGATTAAGGGGGGAACGGACCTAGGTGCAAATAATTATAGGTTTGGTAGTAGAGTGGTAGGTGGACATTGGGCCTCCTCGTGTGTCCTCCCCTAATACAAGAGCACCTTGCTCAGCTAAACAGTGATATGGTAATTTAAGAGGAAGAAGTCTATTGTGTAAATAGAATGATCAGATTAGATGTTCTTCTTGTTGACACCATTTTTTGAAAAATCTAGCAACCCCTCTATCCATTATTTCTATCAATGAAGAGTCCTGGTGGTGTAGTGGTTACTCTTTGCGCTGTGATGTGCGTGGTTGGTGGTTCCAACAACCATTAGTTCCCCAGGATAAAGACTGAGCCTTCTGCTCCCTTAAACAGTGGCAGCCTGGGAAAGCCAAGGGGGTAGCTGTGAGTCAGCATTAATTTGATGGCAGTGAGTTTAGTTTTAGGTTTGATCATTGGACTACCAAGAGAACAAGCAAATCTGTCTTGGAAGAAGTACAGGCAGTATGCTATGGAGATGTAAGAGCGGCAAGACTTCTCTCACTCCACTTTGGACATATTATCAGGAGAGATCACTCCCAGGAAAAAGACAACCTGTTGATTAAAGTACAGGGACGGTGACAAGATGGATTGACACAATGGCTGCAACCTAAACAAAGAGACAATTGTGAGGATGGAGCAGGACCCCGTGGTGTTTTGTTCTGTGGTACATTAGGGCACTATGAGTCAGACCTGATTTGGCCGCACCTAACAACCTAACAATAACAACATCACCAGTGATTTAGCAGACTGAATCAAATTCTAAGTTCTCCACAAAGTATTGGGTTCTCTGAGAACCAAAATTTCTACTCACATTGGTATAATTGTTTGAGTTCATAAAGTTCCAGACTGATGCATCCATTTTTAAAATGCAAATAAAAATAACTATAACTAAAACCAGAAGCCAAAGCAGCACTTACACCATCTGTTGGAAAACAAGTAAAGTAGGTGCTAACAATACCTACCACCTATCGGTAATAGGGAGGCCAGTTGGTTACACCCTGGGCTGTTAGCGGTTCCAAACCACCAGTCGCTCTGTGGGAGAATGAAGGGGCTGTCTACTCCTGTAAAGAGTTACAGTCTCTGACACTCTCGGGGGCATTGATATTGACTCTATGGCAATGAGGTTTGTTTGGTTTTATCCTGTCCTTTGAGTCACCATCTAAATGCCACCTCATGAATTGATCACTGAAAATATGGGTATTACCGCAAAGTGTGATGAAAAACCTTGATGGTGCCCTCCTCTCAGGGAGAATAGCTTCTGGGGTCTTAAAGCCTCCTGTTAAAACAAGCAGCCATCTAAATTAAGTTTGAACGAAGTTCACATGGAA